ATGATGATGATGATGATGATGATGATGATGATGATGATGATGATGATGATGATAATGATGATGATGATGATGATGATGATGATAATAATAATAATAAAAAATAGAAGAAATAACAATTATGGAATAAATTTTAAAAAATAGAAATATTGCTATGCTATAACCATGGCGTTTGTAATTCGTTAATTCGTTTACAAGGATGGATTTGCTTTGATTGTGTGTCAAAACAAAAAGTATGTGCATTGTTTGAAGACAATTAGTTTTCTAAAAGCTAGACTACCAGGCTGTTAAAAGCGAACGAGGTTCTGTTGTATTGTTTGGATGTTACATCAGTGAGCAGAAGAAATGGGACCAGGGGGAGGGAATGAGTTATGATGACGGCGGGGGTGGGATTGGGTGGCGGAGGAGCAGACAAATATTGTATGCAAAAGCAAATACAGACGTCAAGTGTTTTTGCTCGAGTTTGTTTCATTGAAACGATTCACAGTAGGTTACGGCACTTACACCTTATATGTAATATATTATTATATTGATATACTATTACATTCTACTGTCATGCAATCTTATAGAAGAACTAAGAAGATTAAAAGGAAAATGAAGAGTAGTAGTAGTTGTAGCATATTTTAGGTTCCCCTCGGTAATCAGGTTTTATGAAGTGAACTATGAAATTATGCATTGTCATGTTAATTTTGTGTCCCCAGAAAGAGTCTGACACTCTCCAACTGACCATCTCCGCCACACTGCAGCACCAGGTCCAAGCTATGCTGGCTGTGTTACGTCATTACAACTGGAAACACTTTGGCGTGGTGTACACCCCTGTGCCGGGCCATGACGCCTTCCTCACGGCCATACGCATCCTTGTCAACGACAACAACAGCAACACAAGACACAGTGGATTTAAGTAAGGCTATATTCAAATATAACTGACAGGACAAAAAAAAATCATTTTTGTCCTGTCAGTTACGGAAACTAAACACGTCACAACAGTAATTGCATAAAGTACTTTTTTTTCAAATGACTGCGTTTAACATGATTCTAAATACGTTTTTTAAATGTTCTGATCGTTTAAAGCTTAAATAAATTAATTGATATTCAATTACAGCGTTATCATTGTGAGAACGTTTAGCACAAATGTCCCGTCAGTTACCTTTTAATCGCCCGTAAGCCGTTCCCACTCCTCTCTGTCTCTGTCACTGTCTATGCGAATATAGCGTATTTTTGTTTATAGTTCAAATTCAGTAAGAATTTTACGGCATTTGCATCACAATAAGGCCTTATAATGTCGGAATCCTATATGACAACGGAAAGAAATAGCAAAGTTGAAACATTTTTCGAAGCGTCGCTACTCACTAGATCTGGTATCACTTTCCACTTAGAATGAAATCAGTTAATGAATAAAGAAGCCACTTTTTATAACTTACCCCCTCCCCTTTTCCACATACACACCCTTTCCACCATCCTCCTCAGCATTATTCTACTTAATGTTACCGGCTAAGAAGGTTAAAAGGAAATGATGTAGTAGTAGTGGTGGGATCTTTGGTGATCCCCTGGGTCACAAGGTTTTATGTAGTGTCACGGAGTCGTGTGATGGAGGTCGAGAAGAGGTGTGACCAATCTAATGGCGGTGAAACATGGGATGAAATATTGATGACTCAAAGCGCTATGGGCCACGGATTCATCCTTCGTGTCTTCCTCCTGTTGACAGACACGAGCCTCTCTGCGACATCCGACGCTCATACTCCACATCTCCTCTCCAAAGTCATCCTTACGGTATCCCGGTGTTAACGCTCTCTGTTCTGCATTTCCCCCAATACCCTCCAACTTTACGAACTCTGATTATAGGTGCGGTCATTTTTAAGAGATACCTTCTCTCAATGCAATGGCCTTTCTCAATATCCACTGAAGCCCCCCCTCCCCCT